GTATGGAAATCTGTCTTACCCTACAGGAAAATAGGGGGAGAAGGGGACAAGAGAGCAGGGGCATGATAGAGAGGAGGGCAGATTGGGAAAGGGTAATCAGAAGTAAATACTTCTGAGGAGGGACAGGGTCAAAAGAAAGAATAGAATAAATGGGAGGGCAGGATAGGATTAAGGGAAATAGAGTTAGTTTTTCACATGTCTACTATGGACGTGTTTTGCATAACTGCACATGTACAACCTATATTGAGTTGCTTGCCTTTTCAATGAGGGTGGGTGGGGAGGGAGGAAGAGAGAAAATTTGAAACCTAAAGTTTTAAAAACATATGTTTAAAAAAAAGTTTTTTTCACATGCTACTGGGAAATAAGAAATACAGGAAATGGGGTACAGAAGTCTATCCTGCCCTACAGGAAAATAGAAGGGGAAGGGAATAAGAGAAGTGGGGAGAGATAGAAGAGAGGACAGACTAGGGGAAGGGATATTCAGAATGCATGCTATCTTGGGGTGGGGGGAGGGGAGATGGGGTGAAAATTTGGAACTCAAAAACTTGTGGAAGTGAATGTTGAAAACTAAAAATAAATAAATTTATATTTAAAAAATTTTTAAAAAAGATTTGGTGTGTTTTTGAATACATAGCTCTTCCTGTTGCCATTTGTGAAGAATGGACCTACTGTACCCTCCATCACTTGATGGTGCTTTCCACCACCATCTGAGAATGCAGCGTCTTCACTCCTCTGTTCCCATCAGGGACCCAGATAAGTACTGCCCAGAAGAGAATGGTACCATTGGCACTGACATTGTTATCCTACTTGGCCTGCATTTATTCCACGTATCCAAAGTCCTAAGCCCCTCAAATGATGCTATGATGGAGAGGAATAGGGGAGTGAAGAGACCCTTGTTTCCTTGGACTCAAGATCTCTTTCATAAGTCAACCTCCCCTCCCCCAGCTACCACTACAGCTGACCCTTTAGTAGCTTCTCTCATGATCTCCTTGACCACCTTCACTATCAAGCCTCCCTTCCCGGGTTTTGATCAACTGACACTTGCCCTGTCTTAGATAAACGCTCTTGAGGTATGGTATAATGATACACTTTTTTACGGATGGGTTGAACTAGCTGATTGCTGAAGTCCCTTCCAACTCTTAAATTCTGTGATTCTGCAGTTCCCATGGCCTTCAAACTACCCTCCTGGTAGTAGTTTCTCTGGGATTCTCTGGGATTCAGAGTTGTGGGGTAAACTACATCATCCCTGCTGTTTCACCCTGAACTCCTAAACTCTTATCCCTATCCAATTCAGGTTCCCCCAGTTCACATACTCCTAGGGCCTATTATGCTTCTGAATTTTGGGCCCTACATCCCAGATCTTTTCCTTTTTGTCTTCTGGTGGTCATGGAAACATATCTTTCTCTAGATGATACTTCATTCCTTGGCTAGTCTCTCCAGAGCTGGTTGATAACTTCTCTCATGGCCCAACACACTGGGCTTGTAGAAGGAGAAGCCTAAAGTGTAAATTTCTCCCCATCACCCCTTCCAAACCTCCCCATTGCTGCCGTTGCTCAGCAATAACTCCTCCTTTGCCCTTTACTCCATTGGTCAATGTCACTCTATCCAGATACGTGTGGCTGTCATGGCCTGGGCCCCAAATTATTCTTCTTTATTTCAGTAGGTCAGCATCTAGCTCTGTCTTTCTGGATGTCCTAGAGAAATCTCCAACTTAACCTATATAAAACATGACCAAACTTCCTTGTTTCTGTTGGGGATTCCACAAACATTCCAGGCACACAGGATCTCAATGTTAGAGTTATTATTAATTCTTCCCTCTCTCTCACTTCCAATAACCAATTAGTTGTTATATTTTAGTCAATTCTACTTCTACCAGCTGAGTCCTTCTGAAGCTGGGAATAAGAACATGCAAGTTTTCATTTTATCTTTTCATTCCCATCATGTACCCACCAGGTGCATGTCACTCAAATTGCCTTCAATATTTTATTCCATTCAAGAAAGTACTTGGAAACGCAGGAAAGGAGAAGAGCAGAGTCGGTGACATTTGCCCATCATTTCTGCCATCACTGCATGAAGTCCTTGTCCCCTTCACAGCACAAATAAGCTGTCGTCATTCAGATTTTTTTTTAATGGTAACACTTAAAGAGGCAGCATGACAATGTAAAAGGAGGTGACACTGGAGTCAAGAAAACCTAGTCCTACCTCTGACAGACATATACTGGCTATAGGACAATGGACAGGTCACTAAATCTCACAGTGTCCCTGGCAACTCTCTAAGACTAGAAATTACTAAGGAGTTGTGCACTATGAGTTTGCACATGGATAGAATTACAACTGAAGGCTCTATGTATGTAGATAATACCTCTTTTCCCATTAGCACTTTCCTCCTCACTCTTTACCTCAACATCTCAGGAATCTTCTCCATTCTTATCCTTAGACATACCCCATTAGTGTTATAATCACTTACTTTACGTCTTTTTCAGTACTGATAAATGCTGGAAGCCTGCTAGTCTATGATGGCTTTCCTGATAAAACAAACTGTTAGATAGCAGGTAGACAAATACCTGCTATTCTGAACACTTGGGCTATAACTAATAATTCACCAAGTCTGACATTTTCATTAAGCTCTGTGTTATAAGTTTCTTCAGGAACTAGTTTTAATTATTATATCCTGCCCTGCTCTGAAGGGACTAATGTTATTTACCTATACATTTGGGCTGCATTGGCCCTGAGGACACATGCTTCATTCAGTTCTGGTCTAGTTGGGAGGAGATTTCAGCCATGTCAGCTCTGCATCATTTATGGTGGAATCAGCCCTTAGACAATTCCCTGGCACACATGAGGTGGCCAGCACACACAGGGGGACATTTCAGAGCCCATAAAAATGAACTTTAATATTGCAGTGCACCTTTTGGGATACAGGTCTAATTTGTTATAATGCGCAGAAAAGCTGACAAACTACTTTCCTTCTTTTGGGGGGCCCCAGCTTGGCATTTGCTGACATGGTGAAGTGCCACTGAAAACTATTTTAGCCAAACTCACTGCCATAGAGTGAGAACTATTTTAGCCATACTCACTGTTTTTCTTAAAGGAACCCTCACACCTGTTTTTAATAATGACAGTAATAAAGCATATTTTTACAGGGCTTGAAACTTTACGAAGATAGTTTTTCTTACAGCAATGTTATGAAGTAGGTTCTACAAGTATCATCATCTCCATCTTCCAGATAAAGGAGCCAAGAATCCTACAGGTGAAGTGATTTTGCCACACAAATTTTGCCTTGAGTAAATGATAAAGCCAGAATTCAAATTTAATTCTCTGGACTTGAAGTCCAGGGCTGTTTCCATCACACTATTAAAGATCCATAAAATGAATTACTTTGCCCAAAGATCCTAATAAATGATAAGTGACTGAGCCAAGATTCAAGAAGAGGTTTATTGGCTTGAAGTCAACTGATTTTTCCATTACATTATAGTGCTTCTTATTTTTCCTCTTCATCATTAGTTTAATTTCTTCCATGTGTTAGAAGTTTGAAAGCCATATTGTAGGTTTCCTTTGTAGATTTTTTCTTCTCCCATGGAACTCTCTCCTTCCAACTTCCCAATTTTTATTGAGAGCACCATCATCCTTTCAGTTACTTAGGTTCCCTATACCACACCCCCACATTCCGTAAGTCCATAAGTCATTGGTAATTCTATCTACACAACATCTCTTGTGTGTGTGTGTATGTATGTATGTATGCATGCATGTATGTATGTATGTATTTATTCATGCAGCTTTCCTTCTCACCATTCGTAGGGCCTTTCCTTCTACCCCCTTGGTCAGACTCTCACCATTTCTGTTATCTTCAGTACAGATTTTTGCAACAGTCTCTTAACTGATATCCCTGTTTCCAGTCTCTTCTCCAATCCATCTTCCACACAGCTGCCAAATGTTTTCCCCTAGGGCACAGATCTGACCAATCACTCCCTGCTCCCAATTAAAAACCTTTGGTGACTCCTTTTAGCCTCTAGGGAGGGCGGCATTTGAAGCCCTCTACACAGGCTGTCATTTATAGCCCTCTACTATTTGGCTCCAATCCTATTATTGCCCTTCACACATTCTACATTCCAGAAAAACTGGAACACTAGTGGCCCACCCCCTCAAGCCCCATCAAATGCTATGCCCGTCCTGTACTTCTTCCTCTTCTCTGACTCTCTGAATTCTCAACTTCTTTCAGGCTCTGCTCATATGCCACCTCCTCAAAGTAACAATTCTAATCACCAGTTGTTACTGTCTTTTCCCTTCTTAGATTATGTTGCATATGCCTTTCTATGCTTACATTAGAATTCCTCAATAGAAGTTAAGCACCTTAGGGGCAGGGACTATGTTATTGCATCCCTAGGTTAGCTTAGTTCTTAATATATATTTGAATGTTAAATTGAACACAGTGGTGGGGAGGGGGTGAAATTGACCACTTCTCTAGGGCTCCCCACGGTGACATTGGATATAATTTTGCTTTTGTCATGAATTTTATCTAAAGTGTCTAAAGCTGCAATGTCTCTGGTTAATGAATTCATATTTCCTCTACTGCTCAGCTGACCAGAATAAGATATGTCAACATCTAGTACTTTAAATAAAATATACTTATTGCTTTAGGTCTACAAAGGAAGGAAACAGAGTAAAAGTGGAAAAATATTGATACCAATGGGATATAGAAATTTATTTAAACACCAACTGTTCAAAGACAGGGATCATAAATTCTAAGAAAGAGCAGCATAGTGCTATGGCAGCCATATTGGAGTAGGAGTCAGAAAACCTGTTTATGTCTCTTCTACTGTGTGCTTCCAGCTATGTACAAGTTGCTTCCCATCTCTGGGTCTTAGTTTCCCCACATGAAAAATGAGTGGCAGTGGATTAGACAGTTTATAAAGTGCATCCCCAAAGTCTAAATTCTACTGCCATTATATTGCATATCCCATCTAGTCCAGTGCTCCTAAAATAATTGCAGCCACAGTAAATGATACCGACAGGTAGAGAGTTTATTGATATAGAACAGGGGATAGGTGACAGAAACATAGATTTAGAGTTGGAAGCAACTATATAGGTAACCTAGTGCAACTACCTCATTCTGCACATGTGAAAACTGAGGCCCAGAGAGGTTTTCTAACTTATCCAAGGTTACAAAGATCATATAGAGCACAACACATTCATACTCAGGACCTGTGACTGCAAATGGAATAGGAATACTCTTTCTACCATGCCCTGCTTCCTCTTGAGAAAAAGAGGTTCAGTCAATGAGTTGAGTCAACATTGGAAAAGCTAAGGAGGTGGGAACACACTGCATCTCTCCCAAAGCAGACAGGTCCACAGCAGAGCCCTGTGAGTGGAAGCTTAAGGCTTTTCATATTCATCTCAGATGGGGTAGTCTGTCCCAAATTAAAAGGTTCCTGATGAACCAAGATATGTATGTGGTTTTTTTTTCTGTTTGCATGTGTGGGGAGGGGATCTCTTAGAACATCTACCTTATATAGGAATTTTCCAAGATGGATTTGAGAGATGGTGTGACATCCTCAACAGATGCAAAGAACTATGCCTGTATAAACTTCTCTTGAGTTAGTCTCTGAAGTCTTTATTATCAAATTTGCCTCCTAGGGTTTACACTAAAGCAAGGGTGGGGAACCTGAAGCCTTGAGGCCACAAATGGCCCTCTAGGTCCTCAGCTAAGGCCCTTTGACTAGTTCCAAACTTCACAGAACAAATCCCCCTAATAAAAGGATTTGTTCTGCAAAACTTGGACTCAGTCAAAAGGCCACACCCAAGGCAGGCTCCCCACCCCTGAGCTAAAGGCTAGTCACAGGGATTGGTCCAGAATCTTGGACCTTTTCAATTAGATAGTGTGTTTTTCAAAGGACAGACATGACATTTTCACAAGGAGACTTCCAGTCATCATTGATTAAGATATCATTGGAGTTGTAAGAAAGATGTCTTTTGGGATAAAGTGTTTCTACAGCACTTGGGTATTTTTTGCTTGGCTTTAGTGCTAAGATAAGCCTGATTGTAGTTTTGACTGTGGATATGGGGTGGGGTTGAGTAGGAAGGGAGAGGACTTCTGCTGAAAGGGCCAAAGGACATAAAGAAATAGCTGGGGGTAAAAAAAAGCATAATATAGCCATGTCTGCACGTGCAATTTCTTTCCCCAATTCTGAAACTGAGTAGACAGTAATTGTCTTCATTCCATATGGTGGCACATGAAGCTGGGTGAGCAATCATTTCTGTCCTGTTGATCGGGGCAAGTAGAGTCAGCGCAGCTCAGGGTGCAAGTGTGTGCACCCAGTGTGATTTCTTCTACTTCTCGGTCAACTGGAGAAGGCTAGTGCCCACTCTGGTGCTTACTTAGCCTTTGTGGAAGTAATGGTCATCACCTCTTGCATGGCTGGTCACTTGTTTCCATAGCAAATGTTGTGAATGACTACCATTATCCCTTCCTGTGCCCATGACATTGGGAGACAGGAAGTAGATATCATGCAGTTGAACTTTCTGTCTTCTGGCCCTGCAGTTCAGGAAATATAAGAGAGCAAAGAGGGATTGAGGCTTTGCCTTGGGGTCAGGACAACGAGCAAGGGGAGAAGGAATTGAAATTCAGTTACTGTGGCCACTGGTGGTTTTTAACATGCTTTTACTTATCTAATAAAACTAGTTTTAAGATGCTGAGGTGATTGGTAAAATAAAAAACAAAAGCAGGATCTAAGAGGAATTTGGGGATTATTTCCAGTGGAATGAAAACACACAAACCAATGAGAATAAAGCCTGGGAATGATGGCCTCTTTACCCCTATTGATTATGGGATATTATACAATTGTAAGGGAGGTTAGCTAGGGAAGCTCTTGATAATTTTTTGAGTCCACCAAACAACTTGATTACCAGGCATAGATTTTTGGTGGAAGGGAATCTCCAACAAAGGCATTCATGTGCCCTGGTAACTTGTGGAGAGAACATAAGGAGTTCCAGTATCTGGGGCTACTGCCATGATAACATCACTCAGTCAGTCAGTCAATTTATTTTATTAACACTTTTGCCAGGCACTGTGCTAGGAATACAAAGAAAGGCCAAAACATAGACCCCACCCTTTAAAAGCTGACAGGAGTAGACAACAGGCAAACACACTTATGTTAGAGATGTCAAGAGTAGATGGAAAATATTCTCAGAGGGAAATCACTGACAATTTGAGGAGAAAAACCTGTGTCAGAAGAGCTACCCATCACCCCATGCTGTTTAAAAGTAACCTGAAATGCCAGCTCAGGTTTGTTTTTTGTTGTTTGTTTTTCCTTGGATTTACAGACCAGAGTATATCACGAGGGCATGTAGCCAGACCCTGTCATATAGAGATGCTTCTCCCACATATTTAACTTTTAACCCATATAATATTTAATTTCTCCAGCCCTCAGTTTCCCCATCTGTAAAATGAGGTCAGGTTAAAAGAACTTTAATGATCTGTCCAACACTAAACCTGTATCCTATGAGTTATGATACATTGTATAATCTCTCTCTCTCTCCTCTCTCTCTCTCACACACACACACAGACACAGCCACACACACACAGCCACACACACACTCTTTCCCTTCCCCCTTCAGTGGCAGTGTGGTGTAACAATTAGAGTGATGGGCTTGGAATCAGGAAAACCTGGCTTCTGATCCTCCAGTCCTCCTTTGGCATTCTGCTGCCTTGTGGGATATTTGGCATTTAACACTTATTAGATGTGACTATCAGAGCCTCAGTTTCCTCACCTGTAAAATGGAGATAATAATACCTATATATCCCACCTCAGAGGAGAGTCTTGAGTGTTTTGCAAACTTTCAAACATACCCTTTATATAAATGTCAGCCATTATGATTTTCGTTTTGTTCTGCCACACCAACTAGATTGAAAGCTATGCAAGAGCAGAGGACCATATCTCACACCATTTTGTAGTCCCCTCTCTCCCCTTCACTGTGCCTCCCCAACAGTAGACACTTGTAAATCAAGTTGTTTGGAGAGAAAGACGAATCTTCTTGAGCCTATCTTCCTCTTCCCGCCCCCCCCAAAAAAAAGACCATCAGGAGATGGTCTTAGGGAATCTTGGCTGGAGTGGAGAAAGGTATCCATGAGCCCTGGGTGGTAAGAAATAAGCAAGTTTGGGAGGATGATTGCAACAAAGAAGACAGCCTGTTTAAAAATGAAGCCCTCTGCTGTTTTCCAGGCTTCCTGGAAGAATGAATATGCACAATGCTCCAGATCTCTCTTCCCCCCCACCTCCTCCTCCACCACCACCGCTCCCCTCCTCCCTCCCCATCCTCCGCCCATGCTTTTCAGGTGACACAATGATGAGACCTTTGTAAGTGAGCACTTCTTCTGGAAGAGGGTGCCCAGCAGCTGTGCAGAGCGCTGCCACCCCCTGGCTACGGCTGCACAGGCAGGCTCCTGCCTCAGCAAGCGCTAAGGCTCTCATTGAATCCCTGGGGTGCCTGTGACTTGTTCACAACCTGTGCTGAGGTTCTACCCTAGGGCCCCCCCCCCGGACCTACCCCTCCTGCTCTCCTTTGGACTTCGGAGAAAATCTGGACAGAACACTCTGATAGCACATCAGACCCACAGCACCAGCAGAAGCACAAGTCCCTTCCTTCTCCCCCAAATGATAAAATGCCACTGATTCTTACCTGGAAAAATCCCATCCCTGGGCTTCCAAGGGCAGCTGCCTGCCAACGTGAGAGTCTTGATTTTTCCAGATGACGCAAACAGTTCCTGTGTCAAGGAGAAAATGAAGGTGAGGGAGAAAATGATACTGCAGTGTTTACTAAGAAACAGAGGACAGTGTTCAAACTCCATCTCTGAAGCTCGGTATACACACACACACACACACACACACACACACACACACACACACACACACACACCTTGATGCAAGCTTTCTCCCTTTTCTGTGGGAAAGGACATCTGAATCTGTTTTCAAAATATCCAGGGTTTTCTGAGCAGGGGAAGGGATTTCTAGGCCTTCATTCTGATTTCCCCCCCTTTTGTAATATTCATATGAGTTATGCCATATCCTAGGAGGAAGGAGAGTTGCTTAGTAGATCACATTTTTCTGAGGTTGGTCACTTGAGAGGTTTTGTTTCTTAAAAACTAACAAACAAAGAAACCAAACCCACTTCCCTGAGAACAGGTAGGAGATTACTGCTCCTTGAGGTCACATTTTCAAAGCTCTGCTCTGGGAGTTAAAATCCCCAATCCAGTTATTGTTAAGGGATTAATGCAAAGAACTCCCAGGAAGCCACTTAGAAATTGTGACTGTGGAATATTATTTTAATGTACCAGATTTTTATTTTCTATTTTCCAGTTGGTCTGATTATTAGCTAGGATGTGAAAAGTAAGACCAAGCAGATATCTGGGATGTACTGCTGTCTTGTGTCCAAAATCCTACTTGTGTTTTGTGCAATGTATGTGTATGTGTGTGTGTGTCCTAGACTAGAATATTTGGAGAAAATGAAAGGACAGAAAATAACAGCCACTACCTCCTACCTGCTCTGTTGCTATAGATGCTGCTGCTTCTACTCGAGCTGTATATTATTTTTAGCCTCTCCCCAGTGGGAAAAAGAGGATAGAATACAGCAAATAATAACAGTGATAACTGATATGTCTGTCATGCTTTAAAGTTTGCAAAGCTCTTTATATACATTATCTCATTTGATACCCCCAACAACCCAGAAACGCAGTGTATGTAGCACAGGGGAAAGAGAGCTGGATTTGAAGCTAATGGCCCTTAGATCAGACCCAGGCTCTGATACTTATGACCAAGAGCAAGTCCCTGCATCTCTTTACACCTCAGTTTATTCGTCTGTAATATAAAAAAGCTAGATCAGATGACATCTAAGGTCTCTTCCAATTGTGTATGTACTTGAGATAAATTCCTAAGATATTATTTATTACCCCTATTATACACATGAGGAAACTGAGGCTCAGTGAGGTAATTTCTAAAGATAGTATTATCCCTATTTCACAAGTAAGGAAACAGACTCAAAGAAGTTAAGCAATTTGACCACAGTCACACAGTTTGTGAGTGTCAAAGATGGAATGTGAACACAGGTTTCTCTGGCCTCCAACTTCAGTACTGTTGTTACACCATGCTACTTCTGAGTTCCACCAACACGATTGGAATTTAACTTCAATATAGTCATGATTCCACTAATGCATTGTTGGCAGAGTTGTGAACTGATCCAACATTCTGGAGAGAGCAATTTGGAACTATGCCCAAAGGGCTATTAAAATGTGCATACCCTTTGACCCAGCAATACCACTTCTTCTTAGCAATGCAAAGATCCCATACAACTCCAAAGGAGATTACGATGGAAAATGCTGTCCATATCCAGAAAAAGAACTATGAAGTATGAATGCAGATTAAAGCATATTATTTGCTCTCTCTTTTTTGTTTTTTGTTTGTTTCTTCTTTCTCATGGTTTCCATTGGTTCTAATTCTTCTTTACTACATGACTAATGTGAATAGGTTCAATATGAATGTATATGTAGAGCCTATATCAAATTGTATGCCATCTTGGAGGGGAGGGGAGAGACGGGCAGAAAATTTGGAACTCAAAATCTTATGGAAGTAAAGGTTGAAAACTAAAAATAAATATTTTTTTTAAAAAAAGGGCAAAAATAGTCATGGTTCCAATTCTATTCTTTAAAAAATATTTTTCAGTTATCAAACATTCATTGTTGTTTTTTCTCCCTCACACTCTCCCCAACCACTGGGGAAAAAGAAAGAAATGCAGAACCCCTGTATCACATAAGCACAATCAATCAAGCAAAATAAATTCCCATATTGGTCACTTTCAAAACATCCATTTCTTATTTTGTATATTAGTCCATCATGTCTCTGTCCCAAGATGGACAGTGTCCTGTGTTATCAGTCTCTAAATTATGTTTGATCATTTAAGTGATAAGAGTTCTTATATTTCAGAATTATTTGTTTTCACAATATTTATACTAAAGTATATATTTCTCCTGTTTTTGCTCACTTTACAATCATTTCACATGAGTCTCTCCATGTCTTTTGGAAACTGTCTTTACCCTTACTTCTTAAGCATAATAATATTCTATTGCATCTATCTACTACAATTTATTCAACCATTCCCCAATTAATGAGTCCTCCCTGAGGTTCCAGTTTTTTGCCCCCACAAAAAGATCTGCTACAAATATCTTTGCACATACTGCTTCCTCTTTCCTTGATCTTTTTAGGGGTAGAGACCTAACCGTGGTATGGCTGGATCAAAGATGAACTAACTGTTTAGTAACTTCTTTGTTTGCATAATTCCAAATTGCTTTCCAGAATGGCTGGACACATTCACAAGTCCACCAACAGTACACCAATGTTCCTATTTTTCCCAACAGCCCCTCCAACATTTGTCATTTTCTTTTTGTGCCATGTTTGCCATTCTGATACTTATGAGGTATAATCTTAGCATTGCTTTAATTTATAGTTCTCTAATTAGTAGTGATTTGGAACATTTTTTTTCAAATAGCTAGAGTTAGCCTGGATTTCTTGTCTTGATAATCTCCTGTCCAGATTCCAGCTAAGAAAATTAAAATTTTTTAAAAATTTCCACTAAAAGAAAATTCTACTAGGAGTCAAACTTATGGTTTGGCTTCATATGGAAATTAAGAGGCTCCTTTCCCAGAGTCAACCAATATTTATTGGTGATATAATTCCACCTCATCTGGTTACACCAAACCAGGGCCTATCTTCACTTTTACCCTTTAAATAGTTGTTTGAATCTGTAGTCAAATACCAAGCTCCCAGACCGGGAAGCATTGAATATATCTACTATTCAGGCAAAACTCTCAGGTGTGGGGAAACTGCATCCTGGAGACCAAATGTGGCCTCAAGGCCACAGAATCCCCACCCCTGCCTAGACTAATGACAAAACCTTCACATCCAAAAATATCTCCAACTGTTAGTTTTAAAATACCATGAAATTCTGAAGGTGAAAAATAGACTTGAAAACAATAACCTAAGTTGCAAGTTCTTAACTGCTAAATGAGATGTCTTGTAGAAGAAAAGTCTATACTCTACATTTCATGCCCAAAAGTGCCCAAACCATTTTTTATTCATCTAGATTAACTCTAAGTTATTTGGATTAACTCTAATTCTAAGCTGTGCTTAAAGAGAGGGAGGTACAAAGATGGCAGAGGTACCTTGTGTCTCTGAAAATCTAACAAAAGCCAGTTAACAATTTATAGGAGTCAAAATTTATAGGATCCCCAGGAAATAGACAAAAGTCTGCAATAAGATAGAACATTGTTAATCAGCCCATGTGAAAGTTTCATTTCCAGGGGCCCATAAAGTTGGATGGGAAACATTTCACTTTTATTTTTAATTGGCTTCGTTTGTAACCTTATGTCTTTTCTCTTATTGATTTAAAAATATTATTCTGAGAAGATGTCCGTACGCTCCACCAGACTACCAGACAGCCAAGGGGGGGGGGGGGTTCCATGACACAAGGGACATTGAGAACCACTGTTTTAGGGGATCATTTTTTTCTACAACCATTCAATCCCTCTTCAACCACTCCTTCCAACAGTGAACTTCAAGGGTATTTCTGTTTTGTTTTGTTTTTTAATTGATCAAGCAGTTTGATCTCTTAGTTTGATCATTGCCCTAATCTCTTCAGGAAGGAGGCCTTCCTGGGCCAGTTTGGACAGAGGGCCTCCAGGTGGCTTAGTACTTGGTTAGCCCTATGATAAGAAAAGTATAAAAATATTTAGTGCAAACTATTGTTTCATGCTGGAGATGGACTTGGCCTATCATTGTAATTGGGAGTTGGGATAAGACATCTCAGGGTTTACCTGAGCTTCACTAGGACATTTAGGAAAATGTTTTCTTATTTAGAAGAGAGAGAAATGGAGGGAGGGGGAGTAAATATTATACTTCCATAGTCTGTAAAGTGCTCTGTTAACTTTAAAAGCACTCTCTCAAGCAATAAACATTTATTAAGAATGCACTATATGCCAGGCACTGTGCTAAGCTCTAGAGATATAAAAAGAGGCAAAAGACAGTCCCTGCCCTCAATGAGCTTACATGCAAACAAATATATACAAAGCAAAGTATATACAGGATGAATAAGAATTAATTAATGGAGGGAAGGCTCTGAAATTCAGAGTAGTTAGGGAAGGCTTCCTGTAGAAGGTGGAGACTTAAAGGAAGCTATTACCGGTAGTAGTAGTAGTAATATTATAAGACACAAGTATAATCAATATTTTGGCCTAATAATGTCATCAGTTGCACAGTATATGCTCAAGAGTCTTATTATAAAGGAAAACAAAAAGTAATATCTGCTTTAAAAAAAAACCATAAAGCAGCATTATTTGTTAGAGTTAGTGGTCTTTAGTGGAGTTAAGGGTTCAAATTTCATCTTTAATATAACTGCCAGGGTGACTTTGGACAAATTATTCCACCTCTCTGGGTCTTATCTATAAAATGAGAGACTTGGACTGAAGTCCCTTCTAGCTCTGAACCTCTGATCCTGGGAAATTGCCTAAAGGTCCAATAGAGAATGGTTAAATAAACCATGAAGTAGCAATGCAATGGAATAATCACCAAAGTACCATGAAAATGAGAACTGTTAGGAACACAAAGGCATTTGGAAAGACATATGCAGGAATGTAACATGAAGGCAGCAGAACCTGAAAAACTGGAGATATACTAAGCATGACAAGGCAACAAGAAAATATATGTACACAAATGGAGAAATGAATGAATGAGCAGAGCACAGAAGGCAATACAGAGGGTGTCAAATAAGATGTGGAAATATTTTTCATATAAATTAATTTTTATATGTAAAGAATTATAAATGCATATATGTATTTGGTTTTGTCATTTTAAATAATAGCTTAATACTTTATTTTAGAAGCATTTTTAAATGGTGCTATAGAGTCCCTGAAAAGATAGGGGAGGCAGGAGTGTAGCAGACAAGAAAATGGCATTGCAGAATCAA